TACCTTTTCTTTTGTTTTTCTGTGCTTTCCAACTTCTCTTGTATTCTCCTCCCCTCTTCGCTTACCCTCACTCCGTATGAGTCCATTTCAGTGGGGGGGGGGAGGGACAGCAGGGCCCAGACCACCAGGATCTGAAGGCAGCTCTGTGTCTGCCTCTGAAGCTACAGAGGCCATTTCCCAGTCATGAACTGTCAACCAGAACAACAACCCTATATTACAGAATTCTTGGGAGAATCCCCTGGCTTCATTCAGATAAAGCTGTTCAGTAGGGATCAGTAAATGTTGACTCTTAGCATTCTATTTGTCTGGACATGACTGTGGAGCTGCCCATGAGGGGCCAACTTGCACAAAAGAGATTGGTAACACATTCTGGTCGAAGGAGCCTGAGACGGGCACTCTGAGGTAGGAAGATAGCCAAATATTACTGCTAGAAATGCATCTGCCAGAAAGCAATATGGAAGCCTGTGGAGAGAGATGTTCTGTAAGAACAGAGTGGCTTTAGGTGACTTTCTGGATGATAAGCCATCACGTAAGGTGGACTGTAGGAATCTTTCTGTTGCTTCTGCACAAGGCCCAGAGTGAAATCTTTGCAGTGAGCCCCACAGGATGAAGATGAAGGACACCAAGAGCTGGGGTCCTGGGCACAGACATCAGCCTTCTCAGGGGACTCCAGACCCATGGATAGTGCTGGGGAACTGTTTAAGCAGTGAATACCATTGTGTAGATGAAAGTTATAAGTACACATGACGTAAGAAAGGACAAGAGAGTTGCCTCTTGGGGTTTCGTTAACTAAGAAGAAGGCATTTTACACCAGGAAGAAGCCCTCCATCAAAGCTGGGTAGCAGTGATGCGTGCCTTTAATCCTAGCACTTGAGAGGCAGAGGCAGGCAGATCTCTGTGAGGTAAAGGCCAGCCAGGTCTACAAAAGTGAGTTCCAAGACATCTAGGGCTGTTATACAGAAAAACCCTGTCTCAAAAAAAATGGAAGAAGAAGGAGGGAAGAAGAAGAAGAGAAGAATGAAGAGAAGAGGAGGAGGAGGAAGAGGAGGAGAAGGAGAAAGAGGAGAAGGAGAAGAAGAAGAAGAAGAAGAAGAAGAAGAAGAAGAAGAAGAAGAAGAAGAAGAAGAAGAAGAAGAAGAAGAAGAAGAAGCAGCCCTCCATCATTAGGGACAAAGGTATTGGCTAATGAAATTTAGATGGTGAAATGCTGTGGCCATGAGCATGCTGAAGAGTTGAGTAGTACTTAAAGTTAGGTAGCACTTAAAAGGAAAGGAATGGCTGTTCTGGGGCCTAGATGCACATTTGCACAAGTTATCCAGACCAGAAACTCTACCTCTGAAGCACATCAGGTGTCTTTTCTAAACAAAATAGTAGGGTTCCTGATGGATGCCTGAGAAGTCCAAGTGGAGAACAGGGCTTTGACATTATAACCCACTCAGCTTACTCCACCACTTAATGAAGCATGAGTAGTGTTAGAGTTTGGTTATAAAAAGGCCCCCAAACTCATGTGTTAAAGTTTTGGTCCACAGCACTATTAAGGGGTAACTGAACCATGAAGATGTCAACATCCACTATATTTTCATCAATAGATTAATCTATTATGCAACCGAATAGGTTGTATTTATATATTTAATAATATATATACACATATGTATGCATTCTATATGTACATAGAGTCTGTATGTATGTAACAACTGAAAAAGAGGTCATGGTTCTAAAAGAGAACAAGGGGGTCTACAGGGAGGGTTTGGAAGGAAGAAAGAGAATGGGTGATCTAATTATAATCTCAAATTTAAATCTATTCATGATTTTATAGCTGAGTGAGCTATTAGGAAGTAGGGGCTGGATGGAGGAAGTAGGTTGTTGGAAGCACTGGGGATATGTCTTTGAAGGGCATATCTTCTTCCTGCCTCCTTCCTATTGCTTTCTCTTCCATCTGATCCAGCTTCCTGACCTCCATCTGATAAACAGCCTTGCTCTACTACACTCTGCTACCATAATGTTCTGTGTTACCACAGGCCAAAAGCACCAGAGCCAAATGGCCATGGATTGAATCCTCTGAAACCTATAAGCCAAAATAAACTTTGTCACAGTGATAAAAACGAATGCCACAGAAATGGGCAGCCTGAGTGTGGTGCCATACAGAGGGAGTCCTTACATCTAGGCTGGAGCTGAGGAGATATGAATACTCCCATAGGCAGGCAAGGCTGAATAAGGAAGGGCTAAACTGAGCATCTCTGATGCTGCTTCTCAGTCTGTGAAGTCAAGGGAAGAAGCGAGGCTGGGAGTGTTAGGTGAAGCTTTCTTCACACAAAAGGGAAGAGATGAGGCATCTGACTCCCTATGTAGCCTCCCCTGGGGTAACACACTATAACCCTAGGACACAAGTGTATTAGCATGTCAGAATTACCAGTGAGCATATTTAGGGTCTAAGAAATGATGGAGGCTAGACCAACAGAGTTTGCACTTAGGCTACAAAAATGCCCCTGCCATATCTGAGCTTCCCAAGCTCCAGGCCAAACTCAACTTCTGCTAGTTCTTATAAGAATTCAGGTCTGGGTACCAGCCAAGCTTCTGAATTATGATTCTTTTTGAAATGTGAGGTCTGACTGTTAAGAATAAACAGTGACATGGGGCTGGGGATTCTGCTTACTAGCAGGGCACTCACCTAGCATATACAAAGCCTTCTGTTCAGTCTCCAGCATTTTAACTAACAACTAATGAAGTAGAATTCCACATTTAAACACAGTGTGAACCTCATAGAGCTCACCCGAAGGCCACCAACTGTGCCCTGTTGTCTAGTAACCAAGTAAAAGCCTAAGAAAGAATGCATCTCAAAGACAGTGGACACTCCAGTACCAGACCTTTGCTCCTTCAGTAAAGGGCAGAGGAAAAGGGGGAGGTCCCTCAACAATAAGAAGGAGTCCAGGAGGGCTAGGGACAGGATGCAAGGTCTTAGAGGTCCCTAAAGCCTGGTGGATGTGAGAGACAGCTTCACAGCCCTAAATGGAATCACGGGCTTTTATTCATACATACAGGGAGATAAAGGTTTCTCATTGCTTGCCAGAATCGGCCTGCTTCCCTAAGCTCGAACTCTCTATTGTCCTTAGCATTCATACTTTAGGGCAGAGCAACTGAGAAGCTGAATCACCAGTCTGGGAGGACATCCTAGTCCTTCCTTCCTTCCCCTTTGCTCCCCTCCCCTCACTAATTGTTTCCAGGGCTAGCGCTGGGGGCAGAGTTGTCCAAAGGCCTGCTCTGTTCTCCACCCTGCCCCCAAGCCCTTCTTGAGCTGGAACTAGCTCTTCACTTCCCTTCTAAAAGGGCCTTTCATCCGCTGCTATTCCCACCACCAAAACCTCAGAAGGAGAGAGACTTCAAAGTGCTAGGGCCCGGTTTGATTTCCAGTATGTGGCAGGTCTCTCACCAGCGGGGGCTAAAAGAAAGTGCAGGCCCACCACCACTGGGCTTCCTAGGCTTCTGCTCCTGTCTGTGGAGTTGTCATCTGCTCATAGTAACCCTCAAGTCTGCTGTGAGCCTTGCGTTTTTGGAGCCTTCCACTCTGGCTTCTGCTAGAGAAATACACCCTTCAAATCAGAGCTCCCACACAGCTCTGACACACCCTCCTGCTCTGTGGGGGGTCCCCCTTAAGCAAGGCTGACTTGACCTTCCCGTGGGTCTTGAGAACCAGAAGTAAGTCCTTGGCCCAGCTCCTCGAGTTTTCCATCTTCTTGCCCTCCTGATGAGAGTCCTGTTTCCCCAGCATACATACCTAAGGAGGGTCTCATCCACAAACCAGCTGCCAAAGTGGCATATCCTCCTGCTGTAGATGACAACGTGTATGAAATGAGGACATGACCACTCCGAGGTATGGTTGAGGGGTAGATTTTTATTGTAAATATGAGGCAGAGTAAAGAGGCATCTGGAAGAGTCCAGAGCAAGGAGAGAAACTCATACATTGAGCATGCCCAGTAGGCTGAACCAGGCCATGAAGGGGGTGAGGGTGAGAGAGGAAGAGATGAAAGGGAGAGAGCAAAGGAAACTGTGTATGGACCAACAGAACTAACTACGAGAGCACATGGCAGAAATGTCCGGGTTATATAGGAATGAGAAGCTGGGGGAATCAAAACTTATGAATTGGAGAAATTTAGGATAGTGGTTAGGTGGGAAGAGCTGAGAGGAGCCACTGGTACCAAGTGAGCCTGAGGGCCAGCATCACTTTGGTATGGTAATAGTCACCATCGTTAGACAGTTAGCCATTTCCCTGAGTTTCTTTTGGACCTGGCACAAAGGTTATGTTAAAGCCATCAGATTTTGTTTGTTTGTTTTATTCTGCCTGTTGTGTTTATTGAAATTGAGATGGATTTTCAATTTATAGATTTTAAAACATCTATAGTGTGGTCCTTATGTCCCATCAGAACTACACACTAAATATAAACCAAAGTTTCTTCTGCCTTTCATTACCTTCTCATTTTCTTTGTTTGTTTGGTTGGTTTGGTTTGGTTTGTTTGTTGTTTTTTGAGACAGGGTTTCCCTGTGCAGCTTTGGAGCCTGTCCTGGAACTCACTCTGTAGACCAGGCAGGCCTCGAACTCACAGAGATCCACCTGCCTCTGCCTCCCAGGTTCTGGGGTTAAAGGCCTGTGCCACCACTGCCCGGCACTTTCTCATCTTCTTAAGTGAGAGAATGGGCAGAATCCCTGGACAGAAGCATGTCCTTAGCCTGCCTAGACCAAGCGCAAATGAAAAACATTATGGCGCTTCAGACACGGATGTGTAAACTGTCTACTGAATGGTTGCAAATTGGCTGGAATTTTGAGCAATGGGTTCTGATTCATCTGGAACCATTATTTGCAACATTAAGTACCTGAGACCTGAAGGTGAGCAGTCATGAGGAGTAACGATCATCTGTTTCATGGACCAATCAAAGAACTGAAGACAAATTCTTATCTATTTGTTATCCTTAGGATTTGTTCATTCGTTTGTTTTTTTTTTTTTTTTTTGGTTTTTTGTTTTGTTTTGTTTTGTTTTGTTTTTTCTGCCCTAAATCTGTTATGGTTTCTGCTTGGGGAAACCAGGTGAACTTGAACAAAATGGGGTAGCTCTTCTCAACTAACTTCCTAAGAGCCAAGACATCATATCCTTCTTACTCTTCCCTCTCCTGCTGCTGTCCCACCACAGCTGGCACATTGAGCAAGGCCAGTGGTATCATCTCTTTAGCCTCAAGTGCCTCATTCAACATCATGCAAATGCTAACTGAAGTGCATTCTCTTTGCAGTCTGTCATACTGGGTTTCAGATGTATGGGAATTGACATGGAAGTCCAATAACCCAATTCAAGCCTAAACTCCTCTATTTGTTAGCAGTTGTGTAACATATGCCCATTTTTTTTTAACCACATAGGCAAGTTGTTTATTTAAACTCTAAAATGGAGATACTAATCTGGTGTTTCGAGGGTGTTGTACGTTTTCAAGGTCCTGTTGGAGGGGACCTCGAAGTGACAGTGGACAGATCTGTGTCAAGCAGCCCTGATTCTGTCTTGCCCTTATCTTCCTTCTTGTCTTTTCTGAGAGAAGCCACCATCTGATTGCAGGGCTTGGCAATGACTTCCTGGATGAGAACAGCATTGTAGTAGCAGCCCCCACCCCTCCTCTTTATTACCCAGTGCTAGCACACACTGAAGTTACTCAGGGAGCCTAAAGAAATATCAGTGCCCAGATCCACCTCCCTTTAGGAGATCAGGATCTAGCATTGGACATGAGTATTTTCGATTTTTCCCCTCTATTTTTTTTATTTTATGCTTATGGGTGTTTTATCTCATGCATGTCTATGCACCACACATGTGCCTGGTGCCCACAGAGACCAGAAAAGGGCATCAGACCCTGTGGAACTTGAGTTACAGACAGTTGTAAGCTGCCATGTGGTTGCTGGGAAATGGACCCAGGTCCCAAGGAAGATTAGCCAACCCTCCTAACAGTTGAGCTATCTCTCCATCCCAATATGAATGTTAAAAAAAAAAAAGCTCCTCCACTCACATGAATGGACATCAGCCTTACCTCTGGGGTACAGTGATAAAGAGATCAGTCTCCAGATTCAGGCTCATGGGCTATACAGTAATGAGCAGCGTTTCTTGTCCCATTTATTCACCTGGAAACCAGTCAACAGAACAGTGTTTTTCAACACAGAGAGAAGGTGAAGACACTTGTAGAGCATCCAAAGGGAAACAAATGAGGAAACATGACCTTCTCAGGTGTTTCATCCATGTCAAGAGGAGAAGCAATCACTGTCCATGTGCACTTATATTGCATTGGAGGCCTGCTTGGTTGAGGGTTTCGGGGAAAAAAAAGAGCAAGTTGGGAAATTCGTATGAAATCAGCCTCTAATTGCAAAGGATAGCGAACAGAGACTTTGGGAAATAATATGCTGCCATCTTCTCATTGCACAGAAGAAACTGAGGCTAGCCAGGCAGAGTAACTGACTCAGAACATACCAGATTGGTATAAGCCATTGCCTTCAGTCATAATCAAATACAAGGTCAAGAGGCTGCCAGCCTTCCTTTTGATCACAGGCGGCCGTGAGAGAGAACACTCCCATCCCTGTCAGGGAACTTGCTTCCACCCCTGTGGATGACACATTGATTCATTGGCGCCACACTCTTGCAGCCCAGGAGGCTGGCCAAAAGACAGCTGTCTTGGAGCACGGGCGCCTGTGGGGAGTGACAGCAAGCAAGTTTCTTTCTTCCTTTTCAATCTGGAAAAGCTGCAGTGAATGAGTGTGTACAGAATTAAAGCCAGGATATGGGGACAGAGGTATCTTCGTCAGAGCACCATTCAAGACAGACAAGCCAACCGCTCAGCATGTTGAAGTCATCTGTCTAGCTGAAGGATCGTCGCCCCACCCCACCCCCATTCAGTTTATTTCAGATGTGGAAGGCCAGGGTTTTGGGGAGCTGTTTGAGTCCTGACACTTAAGCTGCTTCTACACTGCTGATTTATAACAGACCTTTCATGCTGGAAACGCCGGTTGCCTCTTTGTATGCAACTCAGACTCCCTCCTTACCCATCCCCAATTCTGTTTCTCCAGTGCTGCATGGAAATGAAAAACCAGAATATAAAATATGAAATCTGCTGGTGACAAAGAGAGGCCAGGAAGCCACTGGTTACATGGGTTTGAAAGTGGAAGCCAGGTGCATTCTCTCCAGTATGGCTGCAGACTGTCTTTGAAACAGATGCCGACTGCCCCCCCCAACCCCCTCTGCACCATTCTCTTTGCATAGAGGAGGCGCAGAGTTCCAGAATGGGAGACAATAGGCATTAATATCCATTGGAATGACAGCTGCTTAGGACTAGCTCTGCTCAGGACACGTGTCCCCCAAGCAAAATGATTAGTGCTCCAGCAGAATACGATATTTGTGGGTAATCAAACACGAATGGCAGATCGTTTGGACTAATGGAAAGCAGGATTCACATCAACCTTTCTGGAAAGTTCCCACCAAGAATAAATATTAAAGTTAGTTCATCGCAATAGCCGCCTTCCCACTCATAATATGGTGGATTTGTTTAGTGTATCCTGGGAAAACTTACCTGCCTTGCCAGAGTGTTATGAGGATTAATTAATGTTTGTAAAGTGCCTGGAATTCCACTGAAGAAATGTACCTTGTCGATGCAAATTATTATCATTATATAGTGCCTTTCATCCCAGAATCTCAAAGTGCCTCCCCAACAATTAATTAAGCCTCACTACACCCCTGTGAGAGAGTTAAGCATCATTCTGCCCTCACTAATACAGGCAGTGTCTGCACCTGAGTCAGAGTCTAATGTTTAAGTCACTCTCCGGGAGGGAGTGGGGCGCCATTAGCAACTGTCCCTAAGTGCTTCATAATGCACACTCGCTAACAATGCAAGGCAAGCACTATAGCTGATACCTGTGGCCAAAAGGACTTGTTTCATTTTGTTTAATCTTTGTCTGGGCTCCTTGTTTTATTTTTCTCCCTCCCCTGAAAAGCAATAAGATGCTTGTCAGATGAGAGCTCAATTAGTAGCTATAACCAGTTATATCGTTCAAACGACACCTTCTAATCCCATTCTTTAGCATCTGAAACTCCAGGCATAAATTTCATCCTTCCTTCACTAGTCACACCCCTCAGAAAGAGTTAACTTACCTTTACCAAGATTGTTAATGGCCTTATGAACAGAAGGAACATTTGGATATGTGTTTGCAATCTGGGACCAGTATGTCTGTCTCACATGTGAGCAATTCAAGTATGTATAGTAATTCTCTTTTCAAGGCAAGTGCAGCAATTCAGAAACACAAATCCCTTGTATCGGCTCCTTTTAAAAGGAGCCTGAAAATCAAGAGTGCATGTGTAACATTCCAGGGTGCAGTATGTGCTGGAGACAGATCTGCTGCACTGTCTTTACCAAATGCATTTGGAAACAGAACCTTTTGGCATCATTTCTGTACAGGAGATTCCTGGGTAGGAATCTCCTCGGGAAGCCTACAGCTAGTCATGAACACTTGGGGAGGAAAATCATGATTTCCAACTCTACTCCTACCTCAGTGGTAAAGTCGCTGCATGATAGCAGAATCATCTATCCTGAAGCTCCACCTTCCTCTTGTGCAGATCTTGGAAATGGAAGGCCAGGTTTCCAGTGATGCTGACCGTCTCCCACTCATGTTACCTGGAGAAATCACTAGCATCCTTGAGGTCCTATTTTCTCACCTAGAAAACGGGGATAAAGCAGCAGCCCTGTGTGCTTTCCATGTTGCTGTGTAGATGGAATGCAACTGTTTCTATGTGGGAGCACTTTGTAAAGCATGAAAGCTATACATGTGTAAGAGGCTGGTGACAGCAGGAGTCACTCCACCAAAAGAACTCTGTGGTTCTAGGAAAACAAACTTGCTCATCATTGTAGCTCACACTGAAGCAGCCACCTCATAAGCTGTGCTTATGATGGACACTAAATAGCACCCAAAAGGAAAACCAAAGCTGAAAATCTGAGTTGCTGGTTGTGCTTTTGTTGGTCTGGCTTCCCCCACCCGACCCTATCTACTCTCCTAATTCTATCAAGCAACTCTCCCCTCACAGCATGCAATTTGGTTGGGCTTTCATACATGGAATCTCACCTACTCCTTCAAACACAGTGAGTAGGTGACCCAAGTGAGCCAATCAGATTATTCCATCCTTTAGTCTGGGTATTAACCCAAGAATGGCCATTTAGATTCTTTTCAATGATTTATGTACAAATGTGAGTAGAAAGAAGTCCCATTTCCAAGACATTGCTAAGCTGGGAGGATGGGTGGGAATGCTGTTATGGAGTATTATTTTAAGATGTGTTACATTCATTTATGCTGTGAAAGATTTGTTTAATGATGCAAAGATGTGTTGCATTTGATTAACTCTGTGAAGCTGTGTTGCATTGCCTGCCTAAAACACCTGATTGGTCTAATAAAGAGCTGAATGGCCAATAGCTAGGCAGGAGGTGCTGGCAGGTAGAGAGAATAAATAGGAGGAGAAATCTGGGAAGAAAAGACCATGGAGGAAAAGGAGAAGGAGGAGGACTCCAGAGGCCAGCCACCCAGCTACCCAGCAAGCCATGGAGTAAGAGGTAAAGAAAGGTATATAGAAAGATAGCAGTCCATAGGCAAAAGGTAGATGGAATAATTTAAGTTAAGAAAAGCTGGCTAGAAATAAGTCAAGCTAAAGCTAGTCTTTCATAAGACTTATTAGTCTACATGTGTATGATTATTTGGGAGCTGGGTGGTGGGCCCCCCAAAGAGCAAAAAGTAAAAAGAGTTAAAAAAAAAAAAAACCCTACAGAATGCCATCAAGCAGAGACAAGCCAAAGCAGGAGATAGTCATTTAGAACACACATGTGCTGTGGGACACTGGCTCAATGCCTTGACTTTATTTATGTTCCTGGATTAAGCTGTGCTATAACTCCTGGTTGGTCCTCTGATTATGTGAATCAATGAATTTCCCTCTACTTAAAGATGATTTCAGTTGAATATCTATTCATCCCAATAGTGAGAGGCTTAACTTATACTGTCACAAATCAGTGAGCAACAGATAAGACTTACCAGTTTACTTTTGGGAGAAAGTGAGCCACTGAACCTCAACCTCTGACTGGAGGAAACAACTTTTCTGAATGGTTTCACAGTTCCTATGAAGCAGAAAGAAAAGGTGATTTGAAATCGCCCTATTTTCCAAAGGCTATAATATAGTAGGCCTCCTTATATGCTGGGGCTTTATTAGAAGTTTAGGGTCAGCAGGATATGATGGTAAATGTCTTTAATCCCAGCACTGGGGGTGTGGGGTAGAAGCAGGCAGATCTCTGTGAGTTCAAGGGTAACCTGATCTACATAGCAAGTTTCAGTCTAAACAAGGCTTCACAGTGAGACCCTGCCAGAGACAAAACCAAAAGCAAACAAAACAACCCGAGATACATTCTTCCAGCCTGCTCCTTATACTTAATCCCTACTGTCACTACCAACCCTTTTCCTGATATGAGTACATTCATTTGGGTTTCCCCCTCTTCTGCTCCCACCCCATCAGAAGTCTATTCAAACCCCACTGTTCTGCCTCTTGCATCAGGGTTCTGAATAGGATTCAGTGCTGTCCCATCAGCAGAAGGGGAACTCTTTAAATACAAGGTCAGAAATCCCAAATACTTAGTCCCCTACTTGGTTGTGTCAGTTTGTTGCTATGGTAAAAAAAACTGAGAAAGATGACTTTCTGGAGGAAAGGTTTTCCTTGTGGGGGAAGAAGGCACCATTTCAGATGGATCAATGCGTGGTCAGTTGGCAACAGTGAGTGCTTTTAGGTATGTCACAAAACAAAGACATTATGGCAGAAAGGCATGGTGAAAGAAAGCTGCTCACCATCTGGGAGTCAGAAAGCAGATAGAGATGAACCGTTTTTGGTGTAAGAGAGCACCCTCAAATACAGCCTCAGTGGTTCACTTTCTTAACCAGCTCTACCCGTTAAGCCCTTATTTAGCCAAGGCCTTACATATGGATTAATGTTAACACTCCTGCAACCCAATCACATCTCAGTGTCACCACCAGCTGAAGATGAAGCCTTCAACAGATGAGCCTTAGAGACATCTTGTATCCAATAATAACACTGATCCATTATAGGAGTTGTGCGTTTGTTAAATTGTCATTGGTTGTGATATGTTACTCATATTTAAGGGAAAGCTAAGCTGCAAAAGAATGAGTTTCTCTTTTCTCTCTCTGTCTCTCTCTGTGTGTATGTATGTATGTATGTATGTATGTATGTATGTATGTATGTATGTATGTATGTATGTATGTTAACTCATGGATTTTTGTTGACTGAATTGAGATATCTATATACTAGAGTACATGGCTATCAGCTCTCTGTCTATGTCTAATGGCTTGGGTTTTAATATTGGCAAACTGCATGACTTTAAAAAGTAATAGCTCTATGTGTTTGACTCTTCTTATCTATAAAGGGGAGAACAAAATTAAAACCCCAACATCATTATTGTGAAAACTGAATAGACTTGCTCTAGTAGAGTATTGGAACAGTGCCTGGATTGTAGCAAATCCTCAATAGATGTAAGCTGGTGTTACTATGAATGACATCCAGACTTCAGTACACTTTCAGCTGTGAGTGTAGACATAGAATCAATCAGCAATTCTCTACCACACAAGATATACTTCATATTTCTTCTTTAGTCTTTGGCCTGAGAAATTCAGATACTGTTTCTACACACTGAATCGCTGTTCTATGGGGTTGGGCAGCAAATGGCATGCTCATGTAAGATGATCATTTTGTATGACCACAATGACAAGTCACAGATGACATCTGGAGACACCTAATGGAAGCCCTCAAGATGAATCTGAGGACACTGCTCATGAAGCTACCATGAAGAAATCACAGTGCTCTTTTTTCTCTCTCTCTTTCTTCCTTCCTTTCTCCCTTCTTTCCTTTCGTGTGTGTGTGTGTGTGTGTGTGTGTGTGTGTGTGTGTTTGCCAATAATTTCTTCTGGCTTGCTATTTTGTGAACATTTGCTTTTCTTTACCATGCCCCCATGGTTGATTTTCGGCCTACATTTATTTTTGGGCACACACTTCTCTTTTTCACCCAGTTGCCTTCCCCACCAGCCTTCATTTAATCTTTGCTCACATAGCTTGATGTGAGTGTCAAATGGATGAAAGGTTTCTCCTGGTAAAGTGAGTTCATGTGTCCTTGGGGGTCTCCCTCAAGGTACCTTCTGACCTACATGCACTTTATTCGTAGAGCTTTGAAATTTGTTCAGCTTGCTAACAAGTCGGAGACTATTTACAGAGCAGAGATGAGTCAAATGGGGAACATGAACAGATGGAGAAGAGCCAGTTGTGTTTCAAGTACATTTCCCACGTTGGAATGTGTCAATGCCTGGCGGTACACACTGCCTGCAAGTCACCCACATAGTATAAAACTGATTTCATTTACTAACAAGTGCCTTTGTTTTGCCATTACATAATCATAAATGTGTCCCAAAGAGGAACCATTAGAATGTAAGCCAGGGCAAGCAGCCAGCCAGACATGAGTTCTAGTCCTATTATGGAACAGGACCTACCATGTCCCTACAAATCCTCGGTGGCCTTTCAGGACTGGGCCAGGGCCATGCTGTGATGCCACTCTTGTCTGATGGCTTGTCTTCCATCTCATTGTCTGGTGAGCCAGATTTCCAGGCATGTGGGGAGAAATGTGTGACAGATAGTTGACATTGATGCCCTAAGGTGGCCAGACCTATCCCAACCCCTACACCATGCCTATTCCAGCAAAATCACTGCTCTAATAACAGAACTCAGCGCAGCTTGAGAAGGGCCTGAAGAGGAACCCATACCCCCATTTCCTCCCAAGGCCTTGCTGTTAATCTCAGCAACTGAAAGAGCAATCAGTCAGCGATCCACTTAGCAGGCTCTAAACACCCCCGCTGCCACATCCACCCAGAGGAAGGAAACCGCTTTCAGGGGTAGATGCATCTCAAGAAAGTTGGCTCCAAAATGGATTTCTGTAAAAGAGAATTCCATTTTCTCTTGGCTTCCATTCCAAAATTGGAAAATTTGTCACACTGGGAGAAAGAATCCTCACAGGAGATGAGAAAAAAATGAACATCTGGGATGAAAGGAAATTAAGAAACAGCTATCGCATTGGCACACTCTCCTTGGAATATGCTGGAGCCGGCTGGGAGCCACAGACTTGATCTCTGTGTCTCAGATCATCTCTAGCATCTGGAACTCATGGCACCCATGGACCTTATTCACACTTTCCATCTTCCACCTCATCTATTGTAGGATTTCCTCATGATTGAAAGTCCCATTCCTGTGTTCTTGTACCTTACCATATTGTTCGAGTGTGGCTTTAGGCTGAAGCATGGCATCTCACTCACTCACTACTTTATATTCCATTTCATTTCTGTGATAATGTGACATGACTTACAGGCAAAAATGGGACATTTGTATTTGAGGTTCAGTTCTACTTGTTTCCTTTTTCCTCGAATTTCAGGTCCAAGTCTATTTACTTGCCCTAATCAAGTCAATTTTGACATTTTTATATCACGAGCCTTAACACTAAATGCTAAATATCAATGGGTTTTTGTTGGAAGAGTCCAAGAAGTTTTCTAACCTACCGCCCACCCAATTCAGCCCCTACCATCCCCATTCCTGAACACAACCATTTCTGCATCAGCTCTGAAATGAGTTCCTGAGAGGCTGCATAGAGCTTTCTTCGTGAACTGGCCCATGAGATGTCCTCACTGAAAACAAAATCATCGAGTTTTCCAGTAGGCGAAGTTCAAGTCTCCAGGAAGACTCACCCATTACCTGGGTCATTCCCCACTAATGATAACAAAATCTAAATTTACCTGAGACCTGAGGTTTTCCGGCTTCTTTCAGCTTTTCTTTACCTAAGGCAACAGCAGGAGTTTGCTCTCTGAACCCCAACTTTATACCACCTCCCCACCTTCAGATGAAAACTGCTCATTCTTTGTCACTCACTCTCTGAATCAGTGGAATTTTCTGGACCCTATCCACAGAATCTCCCTGCCCTCAAACTTCCTTTTTTGTCATCTATTCCTACTTATTTCTGCTTTTTAAGTGAATAAGGCCATAGATAGCCTTCTCTTAGGTCCCTAAGAGTTGACTACCATCGTCCTTTGATAATGGGGGAAATGTGATCCAGGACACGTAGATAGCAGCTCAGCTTAGCTGACAGTCTGAGTCAGAGACCTCTGATCTCTCTTTATGCACCATGGAGGTGAGGTCAAGAGCACCTCTTGCTACTGGTCTCCTTCAGATCTGTAGCAAATGACACCTGTCCCTTCATTACAGGTCACATATAATGCAAAACTAGAGAGCTATGTCTTTGCTAGCTCAAGATGGCTGACTCCTAAGTCTCAGAGGCTCTCATCACAGAGGTTTGTTTGGCTCAAAGACTGAAGCAGCATGGCTCAACTGCAGTCAGGCCCTGCTGGCCAGCAGTTGCGCAGCCTTGGTCTGGCATGTGCCATTCTTGTGGAGACAGCACAGAGAAATAACCAGACTCCAGGATGGCCCTCCAAGTATCCACTGACAATTAGCATGTGCTGCTTCTATTCGCATCTCACTAGCCTCTCATATTCCATTTCTAAGGTTGAATGTGTAGACATCAACACCATTCGTTGAAGAAGGACATGTGCCCAGCAAAGGACAGGTAGAGCACGTATAGCAATAATATAATCTGGCTCCATTGGTGACATTCTAGCTTTGGAAAGGCTCCCACTGGGGACCTAATTTGTTTATATCAAGTATACATAAGCTATTGGGTTTTGTTTCTCTGACTAGATTGTTGGAATATTGGCTTAATCCATCTCCTTCTCCTTCTCCTTCTCCTTCTCCTTCTCTTTCTCCTTCTCCTTCTCCTTCTCCTTCTCCTTCTCCTTCATGCCATACCATTCACCCTCTGCCTCCCCACCCCCTATGCTACCCAGCACCTGGGCCTTCATTGCCAGGTTTTCCTATGTGTACTTCCTGTCTGCCCTCCAAAGGCTTCCTCTTATGCTCAAAGGAAGAATGGTATTCTTTCCAGCCTCTGTGTCCTCTCTCTCTCTCTCTCTTTCTTTCTCTCTCTCTCTCTCATACACACACTCTCTCTCTCTCTCACTCTCTCCCTC